CCCACTGCCCAGGACATACATGCTCAGCTTACCGCCTAGGACATACACGCTGAGCCCACCGCCTAGGACATACATGCTGATCCCACTGCCCAGAACATACATGCTGGAAGGAGATGCCCAGCTCATGCTTTTCTCCGATTCCAAACGCAAGCCAGGGTGTGCGTCCACCTCCTCACAGAAATCAGTAACTTTCTTTAAAGATTTATTTTATTTTTAATTATGTGCATGGGGCAGGGGTGCCTTTGTACAGAGGTTGGAGGCTTTGAATCCTCCCTCCCCGGAACTGGAGGGAGGTACTGATCTATCTGCTCTATGTTGGTTCTGGGAACCGGACTTGGGTCCCCTGCAAGGCCATCTCTCCAACTCCCACCTCCTTCTAAAAGTTGTTTTTATTATGAATTTATTTTGGGAGACAAATCTGTCAACATCCCTTAGCCTCAATTTCCTAGTCAGTAAAATGGGGACAATAACGTCAGGTCATGTCAAATTGTTCACGAGACTGTGTGGTGAAAATCCTAAGCATATGTGGAAACATGGCAATAATAAGGACTAACACTTAGTGACCCTCGGCAGGGGTCAGCCACGGTTCAAAGCAGCTGGCTGCCAACAATTCACTTTTCTCTTTACCACAGCTTACAGGGTAGATGCCGTTATCACCCCATTTTCCAGATGAGAAACCTGAGGCACACTTACTACAGCTGGTTGCTGACAGAGCTCAGGTTTCCAGGGATGAATAGAGACAGTCTGACTGTGAGATACGAGACCAGGAGGCAGTGGTACCCAAAGCCATGCCCTCCAGCGCCACCTCCAACCCTACCTTCCCCAAAGCATCAGGTCTAAGGTCCCTTCCTCAAGGGGCCTCTGCTGACTTCCTCAGTGCACGGGTTCTCTGCTCTGAGTTCCTCGAGGAGTCATGCGTGGGCATCATACACTAACATACAGCATCATACAGCAAGAGGGGCACATCCTGCTTCATGTCATTCTTGTTTGTTTGTTTTTTGAGACAGGGTTTCTCTGTGAAACAGTCCTGGTTGTCCTGGAACTCATTCTGTAGACCAGGCTGGCCTCAAACTCACAGAAATCAGCCTGTCTCTGCCTTCCAAGTGCTAGGATTAAAGGCATGAGCCACCACCACCCAGCTTTAAGTCATTCTGATGGTAGAAATGGTCTTGTCTCTCACTATTTGAAGGGCTCCTTAGGTGGCTGGGACACCCTCACCCTGTCCCCTCAGCCTGGCCAATGGGATGACAAACTCTGTCCTTGTAGCACTGGCCAGGGACAGAGGGGAAGAAGCAGCCCCGTTCTTCTTGAGCAAACAGGTAGCTTCAGGTCTCAAGGCCAAATCCAGTATTCGCGTGACACTGATGACCTTGTGTTCCTTTCGGACATTTTTGCCCACAGCCTCCCAGCTCAACAGCCATGCCCTAGGTGGGTGCAGCACCCAGACCGTTGGAAGAATCTACGGTTCCTGCAAACCCAGATGCTGAGCACCCCAGATGTCCCGGACTCATAGCTCAGAGGCCAACAGCGGAGAAGCCGTGCTCTGCTTCCACTGCAGGAAGCAGGGGTGCCACACCTACTCTCCATGGCTAGTTCTCGTCCTGCCCAAACTGTAGTCTGGTTATTCTACCTGGGAGCTGGCTACTTCTCTCCAAGTCTAGCAAAGACGCTGAAGATACACAGTCTTTTGCTGACTTTGAGGGTTGGGTAAGGAACACCCTTCGGAGGGGTGGCACTCTCCACCTGTTCAATCCACAGCACGTCCTGACCACAGGCTACTCGTGTCTAACCGGCAGCTGTAATCCCGGAGGCTGCTGGCCTGTGAGCATCCAGGGCCAGCATTAACCTAGAGGGAAGACCACTGTGAAGCAACTGTCCTGAGAGCTGGCTGGACCCGGAAAACCAGGGGGCAGTGTGGCCCTCACGGTTCGGGGCAGAGCCCTGAGTTCACACCTTAGTTCTGCCACTCTCATGGGCAGTTAATTGACCTCTCCGAAGCCCTCATGAGAAATGATAACACAGTTCTCAGCAGGAAGAGCTGGACACGATAATGATAAGGAGCAGGCTATAATTACATTACAGGCCTCACTCAAACTTTAGACACCCCAGTAATAGGGGGTCATGGCTGACCTGAGACATCTTTCTCTAAATTACACATGATTGATTGCATGAAACAGGTTCCAAATGGTGCTGCAGCGACCGGCTAGACGGAGCTAGATCCAAACCTGCTAGCTTACGGGTGTGCTAAGGAGTACTCACAGTAGCATAAGACCCACGGGAGGGCAAGACTCGGGGAGTGTGCGCACTATAAGGGAGGTGGTGAAACAGTTGTGCTTGTGATTAGCAATCCTTTCCCAGGAGAAATTAAAACCCTCAGCGGCTCTGGTTGTTTAGTTTATGATACTTTTTAACTAAAAAAAAAAAAAAGGATTTTACAACAAAAAGCCTCATAGTAGTGTCTGCACGCACCTTTAATCCCAGCACTGGGGAGGCAGAGGCAGGCAGGTCTCTGAGTTCAAGACGGTCTGCTCTACAAAGTGAGTTCCAGAACACAGGGAAACCCTGTCTCAAAAAAAATATGTATGAATGTTTTGTCTGCATGGACATCTGTGTACCACACGGCCGCCTCATGCCTGAGGGGCTGGAAGAAGGCTTTGCACCCCCTGGTTATTACAGATGGTTGTGAGCAGCCATTTGGGTGCTGGGAATAGAATCTGGGACCCCTAGAAAAACAGCCAGTGCTCTCAACCATCTGAGATAGAGTCTCCAGTAGATCAGGCTGGGCTTGAACTCACTATGGAGCTGAGGGTGACCGTAAACTATTACATTTTGATCTTGTGTGCCTGAGGGTGAGGTCACATATGGAGGTCAGAGCACAGCGTGAAGTTGGTTCCTTCCACCATGTGGGTCCCTCTGGGAATCAAACTCCGGCTGTCAGACTTGGTGCCAAGGGTCTTTATCAAAGTTACCTTGCTGGACCAGACAACCTTGAACTACTAACCCTTGTGTCTTCCTGTGTAGCTCAGTCTGGCCTCAAAACGGTAATGAAGTTCAGCTTAGCCTCCAACTCTTGATGCCCACCTCTGCCTGCCTTTCGAGGCCTGGGATTACAGGGTTACACACATTCCACCCTCTCAGAGTCTTTTGTGAAGAAGATACCAAGTCCGAGAGCCTCAGAAACTCCTCAGAAGTTACAGGCCAAAGGCTGGCAAGGATGATTCTGAAGCCAGTTGGAGGACAGTGGCCTTCAAAAGCGAAGGCTTGTAAGTCCTTTGGGAGAGTGGTTAATGCATCCCTAGCCTCCTTTGGCTTGGAGCGGGAGGACTTCTCCGAGTCACCCCAGCCCTTCATAGAGCCATTGGCGCTTACCTGGGAGAAAGGGGATGATCCTCTGCTTGGGATCCTTCTGGCCGCCTTCAATAGGAAATTTATCCAGAAGCTGCATCTGAGGAGCCAGACAAACAGACAGGCTTGAGAACACCGAACAGGATCAGCATCCCACCGCGGCCCCACTGTGCTCACACGGATGAGTGACGCCCAAAATCCCTCATTTCACAGCCAATTAACAAACCACATGGGGCTTGAGAGGGAGAAGGGCAAAGCTCTCCACGCATCAAAGGGGGCGTCTGAACCAGCTCAGGAAGGGGGTGGGTCTAGAGGGCCACGGACCAACAGGCCTGTAGGCCAGACTGGGGTTCCCAGATGCTCCTTTGGGCCTAGCTCCTTCTTACGTCATCTGTCTGTTGAGTGAATCCCTCAGCCACCTGCATCCCGGGCCAGGAACGGAGGGAGGCCCCACCTGATACTTCAGACAGACCACCCACCTTCCAGAACTGTGCTGCAAAACCAGGCACAGATGTTATTTTAATCATAAAATCAAATCTATTGCACTGTCCCCATGGCTGGGGACCCTTTCCTCCCTTCTTTCTTCCCACCCTGAGCTCACTACTGTTTTTCCAGGGAAGAACCCTCAACAGCTGTTTCTTCTTTTGCTATTCCAGGCTGAAATTCTGTGTGAACTGGACAAACACACGGGAAGCAGGATGAACAAGGCCAGGGTCCCTGTGAGCGGTTGGTGCCGTATGGCTTCAGACAGGATGTCTGCTGGGTGTCCCAGCTGTGACCTTGGGCAAGGCAAGGAGCCTTCCTCGAGCACCTCCCTGACCGGATGAGGATCTGTTACATGGTACCTAACGTCCACTTCTTCCTCCCAAGGATGCTGACACTCACTGATCTTGGATTAAGGCACTGGACACTAAAGAAAAAAGTCTTTGGCCTCAGGGTGTTTATATTCTGGTGAAGTGAGACAAACAATAAACAAATTGGTTGTCTGTCAGGGAAGGTCAAGTGTTACAGAGAAGAATGAAGCCAGCTGAGGTGTATAAGTAAGATGTGGGATCTTTTGTGTGGGGTGCTGAGGAAGATGTCACCAACTCAGAGGCAAAAACCCCAAGAAGGTGAGGAAGCAGGGCACTATGGGTAAGACCTATTCTAGAGAGGGGACCTGGAAGTGCAAACCATTGGAAAAGGCTGCGTGGCTGGCATGTGTGAGTCAGGGCAGAGGGACAGGCAATGAGAGGAGAGAGGCAGGATGGGCCATATCATGGAAAGAGACAGTTGTGAGGACTCAGGGGCATCCCGAGGCACCAAAGGGTTTTATGAAGAGGAGGAATGTGACCTGATCGTGCTTTGAGACAATGGTTCCACGAGAGGGTAGTGAATGAGTCACAGGGTCAGCATGGCTGGGGTCAAGGGGTCAGCATGGCTGGTGATGATGGAAAGAGGTCTTGTGCTAGACTGTGTGCCTGTGTACATGCATGTGTGTGCGTGTGTGCATGCACATGTGTGCGTGCACATGTGTCCATTCATCTACCCAGCTCTAATACATGGTTTTAGATTTGTCTCTCACGTAATCATTACTCAATCTCTATATAGCATTTAGAACCCACATAGGAAGGGTTAGGTGGATTCCATTTAAAACAAGATTGTACCATAATCAACTTTCACTTCCCCAAATAGATATTTAGCAAAAGCTGGCTCATGAGTTTTAAATGTGCTAACTTCAACTCTCAAACGTTTAATAATTCCTTGCCGCTACATTTAAATACAACTGTTGGGCCAGAACGTTATAAATTTGTACCTGGGAGTTCTGTAACACATTCTGAAATAACACTGCCAGCTAGAACCCTGCTCCCCTCACCTGTGTTCTATTTTTGTACATTTTATTTTTGTACTACATCAGTAATTCTTGCTTAGTGGGGAGAAACTAGAAATTACAAAAGCAACGGGGGTAGGGAGATCAGAAAAGGCAAAGGGAGCTAGATGTGGCGGCAGCAGCGCACACTTGTAATCTCAGCACACGGGAGGCTGAGACAGGGGATCAAGAGTTCGAGGCCAGTCTGGGCCATGTAATGGCCAATCTTCTCTATAACAAGACGGTGTCTCAGGAAAACACAAATGAACAACCAAAAATAGAAAGCTTTTAAAAAGACAGAAGAATCACTTACATTCAGTTCCCCTAAAAGCCAACACTAATACTGTCGGGGACATATATGCTTTCTAAGACTCTTCTGTGTATATAAATAAAGTGACCTCATCAATCCTCTCAGGCTTTACCGCTGAGCTACAGTCCTAGCCCTATGGTCAATATCAACATTCTTTTTTTTTTTTTAAAGACATGGTCTCACAATGTAGCCCAGGTTACCCAGCCTGCCTAATGCTAGGATCATGTAGTCTCACTATGTAGTCTAGGCTACCCAGTCTTCCAAGTGCTAGGATTACAAGTGTGTGCCACCATGCCTGGCCATAGTGCCATTTTTAGTTATGGCATAGAATTTCAGTGTCCACATGCCCACAGCTGGTTTTCCCGCCACCCTGTCTCCGACCTGTCACTGCTATATACATCATTTAGTAAACATCTTCATGCCACGCGTCTCTCGATGCTTCCTTAATAACATCCTTTTCAATTTTATCCTATGCATATTTATAAATGAATCTTTTCCAAAATATTGAAGATATATAGTACCATGTGTAAGCCAGGCCTGGGGCCCCCAAGTAATGGCTCCGTAAGGGGTCTGAAGGGACAGCTTTGAGATATCTGAGGACAAAGGAGACACCCAGATATGGAGTGCTATGCTTTTCTGAATTAACTTTCTCTGGAATCAGGGTGTACCTGGGCCACAGCAAGCTGTGAGACCTCACCTACAAGGCTGTGAGGAACTCGAGCGAGTCTTGTATAGGGCGACACTGGCCGTTATACAGCCCAGATAGCCGTGAACTCCTGATCCTCATGCTCAGCCTTCCACGTGCTGAGGTTAAAGGTGTGCACCGCCGTGCTGGCCTTCTTCACCTTCTGACTGCCCTCCTCCTCCATGCCCTGACTTTGTAATTTCTAGTTTCTCGTCAGGTAACAACCTTACAGCACCCTCCAGCTCTGCCACTCACACCATCTCTGACTCCAACATTTTCCTTTGGGCCTCAGATTCTGACTCGCACTGAGCATAGGGAACGGGGCGCTGGGAGGAGTGGGCAGGGAGGGACTCGGGCTATTCCTGCATTCATTCCTTTCCGCTAAGACACAGTATGCCTTCCAGATGAAGTCTCTCTGCTACACGTTAGAAATAAGTCAGATGGCGACATCCCCATCAAAGAGCTCCCATGCTGGGCTTTCACAACCTTCACCCAGCATACGAGGCAACTGTGAGCGATGAGAACATAGTTCTGGTTCTGAGAACCTGGGTCGGGGCCCAGGTGCCTTCACTTCTCCACTTCAGAGTTGCTATGAAAACTGCGGGTATGCAGACTGTCTATAGCAAAGTTGTATGGCTGCATTACCCACAGGGTAACCTCTGTCTGCACAGGACAAGGGTCCCTTGCAATGCAACCAGTCCAGGTCGAGGTAGGCTGTGCAGGAAAAACATGCCGGATAAGGAGTATACAAGAGAAAAGAGGGAGAGGAATGGAAAGGAGAGGGGAGAGGAGAGAAGGGAAGGATGGGAAAGGAGAAGAGAAGGGAGGGGAGGGGAGGGGGGAAAGGGAAGGAAAAGTGTTTCATTAAGAATTCTGTACTAGGGGCTGGAAAGATAGCTCTGTAGTTAAGAGCTCTGTCTGTTCCTCCAGAGGACCCCAGTCTGAATCCGGCAACACAGCTCACAGCCATCTGTAACTCTAGTTCCAGAGGATCCAACACCTCCTTCTGGCCTCCTCAAGCACTGCACACATGTGATACATAGGCAAACATGCAGGCAAAACATAACATAAAATTAAAAAATGGGAAAAAAGAATTTGGTATTGATGATATGTTGAGAATACTCTGGAGCAACTTATAAATGAAACATTTACTTTTATTTTATGTATTTCTCTCTCTCTCTCTCTCTCTCTCTCTCTCTGTGTGTGTGTGTGAGTATTTGTGCACATGAACACAAGTGCCAACAGAGGCCAGAGGCATCAGAACCCCTGGAGCTGGAGTTGCAGGTGGCTGTCACCCTCCATATGGCGCTACATGAACCCAGATCCTCTGCAAGACCACAAAGGGCTCTTAACCACCGAGCACCTTTCCAGTCCCCAAACAAAAATATTTTAAAATTTAACTTTGCCTGCTTCCTTTCACATTTGAAAGTGGCTCCCAGAAACTGCTTTGATTATGGAGCTCACACTGTGTGTCTGTGGAATAGCACAGGTCAGGGCGCAGGGGTCCTCCTGTGTGCTCTGCGGGGGAGGTGGCTGGGGTAAAGAGCTCCACAGTGGCTGAGGAGGAGGCTTCTGGGTAAAGAGTCAAACGACTCGACTCGGGCTTGACAATGACGTCACATTCCTGCTGCCTTCCCAGTGGAAGCACAACCTGAATTCCCACAGTGGGTCTTTGTGCCTCCTGGGGATGCAGGGTCATCTGATAGCCTGGCAAGTGCGGGGACAGTTTTCTCTAGGCGGCTCCTGGGGGTGAGGGCACAGCACAAGGGCCCGCTGCCTCCCTCTCCCTAGAGAGCACGGCTTCCTCTTGGCATTCTTCTGCTTAACTAGCATCCCACTCTCTACCCCAGCCAATATGGTGAGAGGCCATCTGCTGAGTCCTGGGTCAACAGGGCTTTCCCAGAGCTGTGAGTCCCGGGCTGGCTCATTCCATACTGGTAGCCCTCAGGTCCGGTGCCCAGGCCCCATCACCGAATGCACCACAGCTAAACTAGCAGAGCCTTGGTTGGAGCGGAGCCCTCCCAGTCATGAGTCCTACGACCCACAGCCGTGGAACACAAAGCCAGGCTAAGCAGCTGCCAGTGATACTTCATCTAGCGACAGGTCGCCTTCCAAAGAAATCAAAAACCCTGGACGGGACTCCAGAGCAGAAACCAAAGGTGACGTAATGGAGCTGAGCCCGCAGTGTGTGAAGGTAGCAGCCCTTGGTCTCGGAGGGCTGCACAGTTAAGGGCCTAAGATGGCTGGATGGTGGGC